TCTGATCATTTGCATATCAGGGAAGGAAAACCCTTGTGGTCCACATGGCAGGTGGACTACATCGGTCCCTTCCGCAAATCTGGAAACAAACAATACATCATTGTGATTGTGGAGGTAGTATCAAGATTGACTTGTGCTGAAGCTGTTTCTAAAGCAAATAGGGAAAACACAGCTCATTTCCTGGAAACGGTATTTGGGGTTCTTCCTAATCCCACAAATATTCAATCCGACAACAGAACTCATTTTACCTCACACCTGGTACAACAATGGGCTAAAAGGGAAGGTACCAAATGGACATTTCATATCTCATATTACTCACAAGCTAACGGGATAGTAGAACGTAGTAATGGGTTAATTAAAATTAGTCTCATTCGCTCACAGGATTCCAGATGGGATGAGAGGTTGAGATATGCAGTCTCTACTATAAATAATAGGTGGTGGGTGAATGGGTGCACTCGCCTAAATGCCTTTTTCCCTATGTCACCTACTCAGGATAATGGCCAGCACAGAATACTTTACAACAAGTCCAAAACTCCTCTCCACCCTGGCCAGACTGTTTTGGAAAACCTGTCAAATATTGGTAAGGTCAAGCTTACTTTACAGACACGGGTGAATTCAAATACATGGGTTGCATCTGATTTAAATGACAAACAATATAAAATCAGTACAAATAATAATTCATGTTGAGTAAATCAGTGTTTTCTTTTGGGAAAAATCAGTCATCTCCGTGTACCTGTGTCTAGTGATGTTAGTTAATACATTGCAAATCATGACAGCCTAAAGAGCCAGAGACATCCCGGTGACAGTACCAGGCCTGATCAACCTGTTACTGGACTCTGGAGGAGTTACTTTGTGACCACTGTGGGACTGATCACCCCATGGCCTAAACAATGTCCTCTATAATATTGTCTCCGTCTATACTCGCCTTTGAGTTGTTGTTTGCAATATATTGTATTGGATGGAAATACTTAAAAATACTGCTACAGAACTCACTGAAGTAACAAGAACTTGGTTCAAATTTGGGGATTTCCTAAATGGTCTGCTTCCTTTTCTTTTTGACAGAATTGAAAATTGGGTGCATGTTTTAATAACTGCAATTATTCTATTCCTTTTACTATTTTAAATAAGGCTGATAAGAAAGGAATGTTTTTCTAACTGTGGGTCTTCAAGGTTGCATCTTTACTCTGCCAGCTCAGACACTATGGGGAGATCTATGACCCCCCTGTAGGAGACTGAATTAGACAGACAGCAACATTGGCCAGAGATATTCCATTCCATATATCTAGGTAAGCTTAGAGGAAGGCTAGAGATCACAGAAGACAACTTCCTTCCTGCTCCTCTTCCCTTTTCCTTCATCCATGGCCGACGTCCGGGGAGGACTCCGTCCATCCATCACCCTCGACCCCCAGGCTCAAGCTCTCCTGACCCTCATCACTCTCTGCTTTTCTCCATCAGCAATCTGGAATTCTTTGGGACTGTTTGCAGCTGGGGGGGGGGAGGGGAAATAAGAAGCTTTTGCACATGTCTGAACATATTTGTATATGGTTGTATATATTTTCTTGTATCATTGGTGTTTGATTAAAGTTGTATGATTTGGTTTTTGGCCCAGCCTGCGTTTGCCACCTGCTTCGGGACTAGAGCAGTGCTTGCCGCAGCTGCTGCTGCTGGGAGTGGTCACCCTGGTTACCGGGAAGACGGCCCCCCCCACGGATCTCCCACCGAGTCTGCCAGCCCCGGG